TAGACCAATAAAGCCCAGTTTCTGGGATGGGAAGCAGACATTTCACTAGTGGAACATTATGTATTACAGTTAGATGATCCACTCCCATTTCCAACATTTGATTCCAGGATCTATGAATCCTGGCTGTGGTAAAAACACACCATATATTGATTGCTGGCTCAGAGCACATACTGTATCCTGGAAGTTATTATCCTTATTCCATAAAATATTACCATCCAGCCAGCGCCATGAATCTTCAAAAGACCATTCTACTGTTCTGTATGTTAGCTACTTCAGAATGATGGGAAACATAGTAAGACCAGTGAATTCTATGAAAATGAGCCCATTTCCATACTTCGTTTGCTGTAAAATGAGTTTCTTGGTCAGAAGTAATGCTATGTTGAAAATGTAATGGTGAATAAGGTACTTTGTAAATTCACGGATGACAATTTCAACAGAGATATTGTGGTCGGGGAAGGAAAATCTCTATCTGGAGCAAATAAGTAAGAATTAATTTTCTTAGTAAGAATAAAGCATTGCTTTATTAAGTGATACTTAATAAAGCATTTGTAATCCTATCAGTCTTGGTGAATGGAAGTCTATGTTGCTGAGCCCATGTATTTACCTCCATCCTTGCTGCCATGACTCTTTTGTTGTAAGGATCTCTGCAGTCTTTCTAGGGATGTGGTATTACTTTTGATTTATTATTTTGGTAGGTAAAATTTCTAGCGACTTCCACTGCTTTTTTCCTATTTGGTTTTCCTCTGTGAATTCCTCACTCAATGGGTCAGGTAACCAAAATATGGACATTGTGCTAGTTCCTGCATTTGTCTTTTCTAACTGTGCATTCCCAAAAATAGAGTTATTCCCAGAAATAACTCTGAGGTGGGTTCAGGTACCTGTTGGCCCCACTGGAGATAGACCTTAGGCACAACTCAGTTCATCACTGACCTCTGTAAGCTCCTAACTTAGGCTTGCCCTAAGTAGTGAACCACAGTGGTATTTTGGATCTCCAGGATTTAGTGTCAGCTCAGACCTAGTGTTCCGTTATCCCTGATAAGTGTACTTAATTCCCCTTCCCCAGTGCATCATCACCCGGTGACTGGTTGCATGTTTCTCTGAGGAAGGCTGGGAGGAAGATTTACAGTGTAGTCTTCTGGTAGTATGTGAGGGTTCCTAAAAGGGACCCATCCTCTTCATTCAAGGGGCACTGGGTCTGTGAACCAGCTCAAGTCTGAGAACTGGTTGAGGCTCAAGAGTCTCTTTTGTGTTGGTTTAAGTCTTGCTTCTGGTAATCAGACTTAGAGCTTTTCTACTTATACAAATCAAGTAACACTTAGAGTGCCTGTCTATTTTACTCCTAGGAACACCACGATCAGTTAGCCAATGCCAGCAACCTCCATGGGTAAAACCATTTTGTTTGTTGCTTTGATTCCACTGCTCATTATAGTAACCATGTCCATTTTGTCTCTGGAAATTAAGTGCTACCACTTGGCCTGTGTCACCTGAGATCCCATCATCCTTATTGAATTCAGGGAGCCCAGCTTGATGGTACCATTTCCCACTGCTACCCAGGATCTTCTAGCAACACAGAACTTATCAAGGACCTGGGGTTCCCCTCACCTTGGTAAAGGAAGTGGTTTTTGGACTTTCCCGGGAGATGTAGTTGGGGGTGGGTGAGCAGGACTTGCATAATACTCTCTATATGTTAGAAAATTTATGAGCCATTTTCCTTAAAAACTCCAGAATGGGCATCAATGTTTGCAAGATAATGAAAATGTTTGTTTATGATCTCAGTGAATAAGATGAGTTAATATACAGAATGTAGTCTGAGTTTGGAATGTATAACTGACTGCTACATGTTTATATTTAGTGCTTTTAAAATGAAAAAGAAATTTTCTTAATCATTAACGTATTGAATTTTTGGATTTCTCAGTTGAAAATAAAACCCATTTGAATGTTATTTTCTGTGTTTTACTATGTGACTAAGAATCAACATCAAGCAACAGGATTTTTTTTTTCCTGTTTGTTGTAAGGATGAACTCGACTACTCATGTTCTGTAATAGATATCTTTAAAAACAAAAAGCTCAATCTTTTGTCTTATATTTTCTCTCCATTATTTCTTAATAATTCTCCCCTTTTGGGGTCTTGCAGGAGACTTAAGGAGATTAAGAGAATGGTTGAGAAGGTGGAGGAGATAGCCTCACCTCATTCATTACAACTTATTCTTTCTACTGTGGACCTATATGTTACTGAGCTGATAACACCAGCTTGAAAAACAGTGGTTTATCTGAGTCACATAAAAATATTTAGTTTTTGAGATTGTCTAAAAGGAAACATTTAGAAGAGAGCTTAGAACCTTTTCTTCTACCCCACTCCCTCCTGTGGGCTACTAATTCAAAGAAAAGATTTGCCAAGGTGTACCCAGACTTTAAACATATTAAAAATGAGAGAGAGAGATTGAAACAGGCAGTGGTGATGTGAAAGCATGGTGTGGCATCCATGTACAGAGACACACATGTACAGGGGGAGGAACAGAGAAACACAGAAGATTTCTTGTTGTTGTTGTTGAAGTATAAAACGTTCTGAAGTGTTCTGTTTCTCATTTGGACTTTGACCACTGAAAAGCCATTTATGACTATTTGATTTTTTTTACTTCTCTTTGTATGTGAGTTTTTAGACTTTCCTCTGCTAGGATAATTTTAGTACTCTATTATTTTTTGGGCCATTATGTAGTGATTAGAATATTATTAGGTTAAATCCAATTAGTCAATAAGTTCCTGGGTCCTGAGTGACCCTTTCTTTTTATTTGTAAGCATTTTGTTACGTTAAGGGACCAGTAAGTATTTCTTTTTGTAATAGATGTGAGTGGGACATAAAGTGTACTTTGTACTTCAGCTGAACTTTATTGTATAAACATTTTCAGGCAAAAAAATTTGTTTTATGTAGAACATAAGAATGTGCATGGGTCAGTAAGGAGAGGGCATTTTGTCCCCTTACCCCACAACACTCATATTAAGATGAGTTTATTCTTCTGAATTTCTAACAGGAAGTTTTCTCTCTTATTGCAAAAGCCAGCAGATTTCCCGAGTGTCCTTGAATGATTTATTCATGGCCTACTTATGTAGTAGCAAAAGAAAAGAATTATACATTACTTTTTTTTTTTTATCTTGTGCAAGAGAGCAATTTTAAAAAAATATATTTGGTAAGACCTTTAATAAAATTTTTAATGAGTTGTCTTTCCAACTCATAGTCATTACAAAGAGCGCTGTCTCCTCCATTATCATGGCTCAGAGGAGTCTTTTTTCCCCCCTAGCTGGAATATGTGTTATTTCCGTATTACTTTGGGTTTTTAAGTTAAATATTCTTCTGTTTAAGAAAATCTGAGGTGTACTCATACATAAGATAGTGTTTAAATTATACCTTGATGAATGTAATAAATTTATTAATAAAATTTTTTCCATGATTAAAACACTAAATATCATCAATACTGTGAGATTAATAAAGTTGGTTTATCATCAACCAAATAACTTTTCCCCTTTCTTCCTCTTTTCTTTCCTTTATTACTGCCTTCTTCCCCCATCCCCCAAAGTTCCAGCAATTGAATACTTGAAGAATGAATGAATGATTTCATGTAATTATTTATTTATTATCTTTCTGCCTCTTTCTTCTTTTTTTGAGGTGAGGAAGATTGGCCCCGAGCTAACATCTGTTGTCAATCTTCTTCTTTTTTTCCCCCTCAAAGCCCCAGCTAGGGAAGTAAGTCATTCTAGTTCTTCTATGTAAGTAGTAGTAGTAAGTCATTCTAGTTCTTCTGTGTGGGACATGGCCACATCATGGCTTGATGAATGGCATGTAGGTCTGTGCCCAGGATCCGAACTGATGAATCCTGGGCTGCCAAAGTGGAGCGCATGAACGTAACCACTTGGCCATGGGGTTGGCCCCTCTCTTCCTCTTTTTTGACTGTAAATTCTATGAGGATAGAAACTACACCAATCTTGTTCACTTCCATGTGCCTAATGCCTAGGATTAGTACATAGTAGGAATTCAGTAAATTAGTTGAATGAATGAATCAATGAATAATAAAACATATATTATAAATGCTTCTTTTAAAAATTATCTTTGTTGAAAATCCGTTTCTTGTCTGTTGAAATATTTAGATTGTAAAATATAGGGAGAAGTTATAATAGGAAAGGAAAATATTTTTAATAAGAATGTTTTTAAATTTGCTACTTGTTTTTTAACAGTTAAAGAGTACTACAATAAGCAATCAATTTAAAGTGGTTTTTGAAACTAAACTTTTGATTATTTTGGATTAATATTTTGAACTACGTTTGACCATGTGACCTTGATTAGCTGAACTAACTTATGGCCAACTAAATTAAAATAGTTTGAGGGCATAATATGGAAATACTCGTATTTTTACAATGAGTATCCGTTTTAAGGGTTTTAATTGAAACATGATGTGGGCCTCTGTAGATAATAGCATTTTTATTATTTATTTCAAATTGTAACTTGAGAATTTTAAGGATTGAAGAATATTTCCAAGTATAACAGAAAATTATGTGCTTTTGGGTTCAGAAATTATTATTTAAGCAAAATAGGCCTGACTGATCAGAAACACATAAGTGTACATAACTCTCCCAAACAATGTTAGTGTAGACTGTTCAGTTAATTGTTGGATAACAGGTGTGTGCAAACACTTCAGTTACTTAGGAGATAGGGAAAAAAAAAAGAAAAGAAAGAAAGAGCTCACTACTAACTACACTGTGGGCCGTGGTAAGGTACAAAGTAGCCATAAATTTGAACTTGATATATTATGAACTTAATTTGACCACTTGTTAGAAAGGCTATTTAATACTTGGCTCTACAGCAGTACACTTTGGAGAATAAGATTCCGCTCAATGTTTCATAATATCTTTTCAGCTCTTATCCACTTTTAATAGCTCTGTTACTATTTGCTTAGCTTTTGTCTCTTTGTGACTTTAAGACTGTATTTTCATCCTATATTTTTCTCTAGGCATCCACAAGGACAAAGATAAACCTCCCAGCTTCTCTGTTGTCCTTGAGACTTTGAGACGTACCTTGACAGATTACCAGAACAAGCTGGAAGATGCATCTAATGAGGTAACATCGCACTGTTTGGCTCCACACATATAGCCTTCGGCCTGCAGCAGTCCGTATTCCTTGCTTGTTACAAAGGTCAGAAAGATTGGGAATGTTGAATTGACAGCTTCACAGATACAAAAAATAATAAATTGTCTGTCACTGTTCTTTCTTTCAGTGTGGCCTAAAGTCGTGTCTCACTTAGGTTTGTGTAACTCTTCACTCACACTATTATTTTCAATGTTATAAAGACTGTCACTTTTTGGTCTTCAACATTTATCTATTTTAATTTAACAAAAGCTATGCAAGTCATTGAAGTTAATATGTGTTATATTTAAATGTAAATGTGTTTTTATAAAATTGGGAGTGGGTAGTGCAAATTTAGGTTTTGTCAATATTTTAGGTTAAGTTTTCTACAAATTGTGGAAGTCAATAAAAACGTGAAGTTAGTTTGCATTCTCTAAAGGGAGTAAAATATTGTCAGAAGTTTTTAAAAACAAATGTAGCCTGGAAGCTTTTAGTTTGCTGATTGAAAAAGCTCGTGCTTCTACTTATTATCTCATTTGTATTGTTTATGTGACTTTATTGTTTTGTTTATATATGTGGGTTGATAATTTTCTTGGATATTAAAATATTTTATGAATTTATACTTTAAAAATTGAAGAGTTTGCTTAGTTACATCTTGTATTAGAGAATACGAAGTAATTACATTAAATACAATTAGCAAAACAACAGATTGTTTGAACCAAAACAAGCTACATAGCATGGAATTTAGTGTTTATCCTTCTGTTTATATGCTTCTTTCATATACTATAAAGATCATGAAACCATTGCAGTTCACATTTCAGAAGAGGCTTATTTTACTTTAGTTTACTAAGGTGAACAAAGAAGGAAAAGTGAGTCTTCTTAATACCCTCTGTAACTGTTCAAAGGCGTAAAGGAAGTGACTCTTGAAATAATTAAATTTCTATAAAGAACAAATATTGCTAAGTCTTTCCCAGTGAGACAAGACAACTTGTGTCGTTAGTAGTTTATGAGCCTCTTCTGAGGCCTGGGTCTGGAGGCTGCTGGGGAACTAGGAACATATTACCCACAGCGAATTGTTATTTGGGAGGATGAATGTCACATGATCCTCAGCACAGTTGAAAAGTCGACTCAGCAGGCTTTGGCTTAGTAATGCGCTTTGTTGTGAACCAGTGCCAGAGACAGCAGTGGGGAGACCAAGGGGGTGGCTGCAAAGAAAGCAAAAAGAGCAATCTGACAGAAAGAAGAATGAACTGTCAAAGAAAATAAATCACAAGCAGAGCGGGACCAACTGATGACCTGCCACAAGCCTTCCCAGTAGGACTGCATGTGACCGACCCTGAAGTTGTCATATGGAGTGAGAGACCAGTGAATACCCTCATGATGTACAGAGCAGTCTTCTGCTCTGCCCTTTATTCTTTCCTTATAGATGCCACTGCTTCTGGCATTTTGGTCCAGTAGGATTTTAAGAATAAAGTTATATTTGTTTACAGTAAGAATGAAATCCTTTATCCAGACATCAGGAAAAATACAATGGCATCACTGACATTTTAAGCTTGAATGCTTTCTTTTCTTTTTAGCCATGTGAGCTTGTGACAGACGTTACATAGTTAACCAAAAGAAATAATTTTTTAAGACTCTTAATTACTATTGAAAAATTTATAGTAAGTAACCGCATGAAACACATTTAAAGATTGGCTTTCAAGTTACCCATCCTTGAAAAATATAAAAAAGTTACTTACATTTTCTTTCATCAGCTAAAGAGCATGAATGATGCTAAAGAAAAGACATCTAATGAACTTGATTCTACCAAACAGAAGATAGAATCTCACACTAAAAATATAAAGGTATTATGATTTAGAATAACTTTTTCCTCTTGTATTAAGAAACAAATATAATTATTTAGAGAATATTTTTAAGTAGATGTATCTGAAAATATATCTTCCTATTTCTTATTAAGTACATTTGGATATAATTTTAATTTTTTATTTTTGATCATAGTAACAAAAATGTTTTCATTAAAAAAAATCTTGATTAGAAATTGTTTTGTTTAGAGGAAAAATTCATTTCCAGGTTTAATTATAATACTATAGATTTGAAAAAATGATTTAAGATTTAAAGTCCATCCTTAGATACATATTAAACATATTTTACATAAGCACATCAGTATTTGGAGTCAATTTTCATCATTTTAGGGTGGAGCCATTGTTTTTAGTACATCATGCCTAGTGATGGGCTGAGACCACACCTGGCTAAGATCCAGGACAACAGTTTATTTTATTTTCTGCACTAGTTTTAGGTACTACATCTTTGCAAAATTATACTGAAGGAACTCTCAGAGTTGCTCAGTATTGTTGGAATTTTTTAGTGTTGGTTCATGTTACGTTTGTCATGGACATACTCCAGTAGAATTTGTTAAGGTTAAGGATTAAATGGTTCAGCAGAGTCTTATGCCACATATTTGAGATTTGTATTAGTATTTGGAATGTCATTGGGAAGAAAATGTTTTTATATTAAATGTAAGGGATTTATTTTTTAAATGTTATTTACATGTTACTTAAAATTTTTTGAGCCTACCAAGTTATTTTTTTATAATAGGTTGAAAGGAAAACTCCCTTTCCAAAGAGCTTTCTGGAATAAGCTATCTTATTAACATTTTATGTTTAAATGTTATAACAACAAATTTTCTAATTTTCAAGCTAAAATATTATACTTAGGAAATACATTCAGTAAAATACCTTGATGTTGAGTATTATAATCAAACGCTTGCCTTTGTGCTTCTTTTACGTTAAAGCTTTGGCAGTCTTCAGTATGTATTTGTGTTTGGACCCCCACTCCTTTACTGGCCGGGCTTCGTGCAACCTCTTTATTTGATATCTCTGACAGGACCTTCAGGATAAACTGGCTGATGTCAATAAAGAGTTAAGTCATTTACGCACTAAATGTGCCGACAGAGAGGCTCTAATAAGCACTTTAAAAGTGGAACTACAAAACGTGCTGCACTGTTGGGAGAAAGAGAAGGCGCGAGCAGCCCAATCTGAAAGTGAACTGCAGAAGCTTTCCCAGGCTGTCCATAAGGACACGGAGGTATTACCTGCGACAAGATCACTGTCGGCAAAGGCCTTTCACTAATCTCAGATTTCTAAATTTACATACATCAAGTGACTATTTTTACTCTTAGGTGATTTAATTCAAAAAATTGTTCTGAGCTGACTGTTTTGAAATATTCATGCCAGCTGCAAAATCAGTCACTCCATTACTCTTGTGTCATCCTTTTTTGTGAGAGAAGTAATATAATTTAACCCTTCTATCACTTGTACAATTAATTTTCTCTGTTCAGAGCATCATATCTCAAGCAGCTATGCTCATAACAGTTCTTTCAAGCTTTGTCTGTTTGCCAATGACAAAGTTACTTTTTATTTCAGTAGTTTAGTAGCTTGGCCTGGTGGAAAGAATATGTTTTTTGTAATTGAAAGAGCTAGACTTGGATAGTGGTACTTCTTTTTACAAACTGTGTGAATATGCACAAGCCACACAGCTTAGTCTCTCCACATCTTAGGTTTCCTTATTTGCAAAACAGGAATAATATCTACTGTAATAAATAGCCTCCTTACTCTTTATAGTAATAGGGTATTAATCAAAATTTAGAAAAATACAAGTCCCACAAAATTAAAACTTTATTTAGATGCCCTAGAGAGTTGCCTATCCATTTTTATTTATTAATGGCTTCTTAACATATTATGACAAAACTTTCATATTCTGTATGAGCCTGTGTGAATGGAATTGTTATCTTATATTTTCTTTTACCCGTGGGATCTGGAGCTAGCCTCTCTAGTGTGGAACTGGTTTGTCTGAGTCGTCCTGCATATTGAGTTCATTACTCCAACAAATATGAACATGAATGCCAAGAGAGTAAAAAGGAAACATTCTTTCCACTCTTCTTCCAGTCTGGGATTTAAATTGTGTCCACATGAAGGGGCTGGAATTGTTCTACACATCAGATAATGATTAAAGTGAAGGAAACTGGAAGCCTGACTGCATTGTAAAGTCAGCGTGTCTACAGCGCTGTGGTTGGCTTCAACGTGTGTGAATTGGTTTTGGATCTTGAGATTCTCTTTTCACGCCAAATGGATGACTACCATGCATGGTTTATCACAGCCCAAGCAGAAAGGACATAATGGCGACACAATGAATTATCCTTGAGGATGAACTCAATCACTTGGCAAAATGAGGACGGGAAAGATTTTAGTGCCTGAATGTTACATTTGGTTAGTTATATTTAATAAGATTTAAAAATATCTCAACCCAGTTGAACATGCAAAAGACATTTTTAATTGCTTAAAAAAGAAAAAGACATGGCATATTTATGAAGATTCTTCTGATATCCTAACTCAAGTTTGTGGTTTTAACTACACATTCAAATTTTTTTTGGTTTTTAAATTGTTATATTTGGACGAAAGTAAGGTGGCATATAAGGAGAACTAAAGATATACGTTTTGAAATATATAGGAAAACTTTCCCCACAATTTCTAATGACAAAACCTTTATGTATGCTATATTCAGTTTTTCTTATCTGGAAGATAAGAATTTCCACTTTTTTCCTCTTAAATTTTTTCCTTTTAAAAGTTTTCTTTTCCTGTTGATCTATTAAAAAAGTCTTGAGGGAACTTATTTTATCTACATGAAATGTTCATTTTGCAGTTTCAACACTACCTTGTCTTAAGTTCCATTCTTTGGAATTTCATTGATGAAAAACCTTATAAAAACAGCCATTTGGCATTTTATTAGATAAACTCTGTGTGTTCAAGATGGGATCAGTTTTTTACTGAATTCTACAGGATAGTGTTTCCAGGTCATTAAACAATGGGTAGTCTAGTTACTGCAGTATATGTAATTTTAAATGACTTTTTTTTTTTTTACATATTTCTAAGTGGACACTTTTGAAAGTATGTCTTGGGCAGCTATGTCCTTTGTTTTTTTTTTGGGCCTGTTACTTTGTAGTATTTAAACACCTACAAATGCCCGGTGTGCCAAATCCTATATGAACTTATAAGTGAGGAAAACAAATGAGCCCATCTTCCATATCTTTCATATCACGGTCTGCTTTGCCTAAGGGGCTTGGGATAGATTTCCTATAAGTGGTAAGTAAACTGCAATCTCTGGGGGAGGAAGAAAGCTGAGTAATTGTGTACATGTAAAGTATAGATATTGGTATAACTTTTTCTTTGACAGAGTTGAGTAACACTCCTCTCTATATTGGGTTTTTTACTTAATTAACATCTGTATTGGCAAATGAAAATATGAAATTATAGAATTACTATACTGACTTCCAATTAGAAGGGCTTAGAAACAACTAGTCCAGGTACCTCCCATTACAGCTGAGGAAGGTGAGGCCTGAACAGGCATTTACTCAGTAGTAGCTGAGCTGGGGTCAGAACCCCTGTCTTTTGGCTTCTAGACCTCAGATTTTGGTTTTGAATACCAAATGTAAGCAATTTCCAGTTTATATCTATTGCTCAGTTTGAAATGTGAAAAAAAAGGTCACCAAAATCACAATATTCTGAGACTTGAGTATTTTAATTCCTTTCTGGATTTTTGAAATAAATTCTTCACCATGTGTGTTATGTGTTTAGTCATTGCAATGTTTATATACTGGAATTAATTTCTCTTTGTCCTTACAGGAGAAGCTAACCTTCCTTCATACCTTGTATCAGCACCTGATAGCGGGCTGTGTGCTCATGAAACAACCAGAAGGCATGCTGGATAAATTCTCATGGTCTGAGCTTTGTGCAGTCTTGCAGGAGAATGTTGATGCCCTGATCGCAGACCTCAACAGGGCTAATGAGAAGGTAACTGTCCTCAGGCACCAGATACCTCTATTAAATTCAGTGACATTTGTCCACATCACAGTATCATTAAGAGGGGCTGACATTCATCTTATTTCAAAAAGAATTTGGATGTTAATAATTCAGTACCATTAATTATGGCTTGTCTACAACTCAGTTTGATGCCATTGCTGTGGGCATGTAAATGTGACTGAAGTCTGTATGAAGTCTCTAAGCTCCACTTTCTGTGCAGGACATGCTAATACTACTAGCCAGTATTAGCCACAGGGACCTAATTAAAAGAAAATAAATTAATCTTACTGATGAAGCAATTCAAAGAACTTAGTCCTTTACATTAATAAACCAACTCTTTATGTTAGCATAAAATAGAAACAAGATACAGTTATGCAAAAACATGATCTTAAAATTCTTTGCTTAGGAAATAACGAAGTGCTCCTTTAAAAGCACTTAAAAATTTTAAATTATGTTTATGACTTATTTCTTGAAATAATATATATTACAAAACTCATTCAGTGCTTTAGAATGTAAGAAGTATGTATTGTAGGAGAAAACAGTAGATTTTTATGATCACTTTATCATTCACAAGCCTAGGAATTAAGTCTTTCAAAAAAAATTTAAAGACCTTTTGGTTATAGAAAATTGAAATGGCTTAGCAGACCAACATATGTCACCATTAAAGATATTGATTCTTATCATGGATCTCTTGAACTGGTTAGACCTGTATTTACATGGTCTAGTTTCCAGATCTTAGTTGCAATTACATTTGCTCTTAAGGGACATGAAAAGAAAAACTGTTCTCTAAGTTTTTTTTAATCTGTTGAAGTAATGAAACAACATCTTGGCCTGATTTTAGGGTGAGAGCATTTTAGCTTTGTCTGATTGTCAAACACAACCATAGACACTGAGATTGAGGAAATGAGGGAATAAATTGTGAGAAGCACAGATGCTGTTCATGATTGTGAATATGTGTATAAAGGGTTTGAAAATTACTGATAATGAAAATGAGTACATGTTTTAACCTTCTGAGATGGTGTTATGTTTTAATAGTTTTTCATAGTTTCAAAATATCAGTAATTGTCATATGTACTAGATGACTAGGATTTTCTCTGCAGGATTTTGAATGTGAGATAAGAAATGGTTGGAAGGTCTGCTTTATTATATGTAAAATGTTTGTAGATTTGTAAGTCTCATTTAAACACTTCCTTTCCCATTGAGATATCTGAATAGCTTGAGCTTTGGTTCTAGAAGTAAGAACAGTCTTAATTTTCTCAGTAAAATTGATTATAGAATGAGTAACTTTATTTGAAAGAGAAAAATAAAAGATTTGTCACCTAAGTGTACAAATAACATTTTCTGCTAAAATATAATTTGCCCTACTAATTCCTGTTTCTTAATTTCTTTGGTTTTCATTTTAACTTAAAATTTTTATGTGATCTTAAGGAATAAACTATAGTAGAAAACTTCAGATGGTTTTTGGGGGTGGTAATACAAAGGATGGTTTGTGAGCATATTTCATTCTCTGTTGCATTTCCCCATTTAGATAAGTCATCTAGAGTATATCTGTAAAAACAAATCTGATACGATGAGAGAGCTTCAGCAGACCCAGGAAGACACCTTTAACAAAGTGGCAGAGCAGATCAAAGCCCAAGAGAGCTGCTGGCACAAACAAAAGAAGGAACTGGAGCTGCAGTATTCGGAACTCCTCCTGGAGGTGCAGAAGAGGGCACAGGTATGCTGCTTCTCCGAAGAGCTTTAAAAGATGAAATGCTCAGTCTTCTACTGTTTCAAGTGTTTCCTTTTAGTATCAGTTCCAAATCAGTTTAAAACTTCTTGAGAACCACACACAACTTATTAGACACGTATACACATGATTGCACAACCCCCCCCCCCCCCGCCCCGCCCCGCCTCGCCAAATGGATGTGTGTGTGTGTATTAAGGATTGTTTTTCACTTAAGTTTGGAAGTAGATGGGTTTTGGTTGAAACATCCCAAAAGGCATTGATCAATTAAATGCTAAAATTTTATTTATTTATTTTTAAAATAAAAGCTTAAGAGATTTGGTAAAATATTATCAGTTTTAGTGTAGATATTCTTTTACCCAGTTTATTCCATTTGTAGGAGTTCCTTTGTGAACTATCATTTTAATTCGTTTGGGGTTGAAATTTATCATACCTCCTAACGTTGTATGAGAACTAGAGTTATAGAGTTGTAGACCCTGTAGCAAAATTATTGACTGTGAGATGTATCATGTCTTCTCTTGGATTTGATTGAGAACAGAAGTTATGGGTAGTTAACATGACCATATTTTTTCCTATACAAATTATTGCCAACATAATTTATATTGTTAACTATCGTCTCTGCCCAATCAAGAATAACATAATGATATTATTATACAGTATGGAATAGTGTATATATTTTTTCTATTGAATTTAATAAAAAGTCACTTGTTCTCAAGATAAGATACTTAGGAACCAGAAGATTGTATATTCTTCCCGTGCTTGATTCAGGAGTTAACCTCTTTATTTGGTCCATTCATGCTTATATTTATTTAGATAAGTCTAATTTAAAAAACCCGTTTTATTCGTTTGGCAATAAACAGTGTCAGATTACTTAAAACAAGATCATTCTGTTTTCCCAGACATAAGGGCCCTATATGAACTTATGCCTTTCTCTATGAATTTGAATGAGTTACTGCACTCTCTAAAAGTAGTCATTTGTTCACTGTATGCAGGATGCCATGTGATATGTTCTGCATTTTCTACTACTGAAATAAAAGGTCTAAATAATTTATTTTATTTTTCTTAGAGGTAATGTTGACAGACAGTGAATCTTAAGTGTACAATTTGATGTTGTGTTCGATGTAAAGACCCATATAACCATCACCCCATTTAAGACAAAACGTTTTCGTTATCCCAGGAAGTTCTCTTGTGCCACCTTGCAGTCAGTTTCCACTCCCTATAGGCAACCATTTATCTGATGCCTGTCATCATAGATTGCTTTTACTTGTTTCTGAATTTCCTGTCAATGGAATCATTCGGTATGTAGTCTTTAGTGGTTGGCTTATTTCACTCAACATATTTTTTTGATATTCATCCATGTTGTTGTGTGTATCAGTAGTTCATTGTTTTTTATGGTCAAATAGTATTCCATTTTATAGTTATACCACAATTTGATAGATTGTGAGTTGATGGATATTTGGATTGTTTCCAGTTTTTGGGTATTGTAAATAAAATTGCTACGAACATTACTGTACAAGTGTTTTGTTGACATATCTTTTCATTTCTCTTGATTAAGAGTGCAATTGCTAGGTCATAGGATATGTGTACATTTATAAAAAATTATCAAAGTTTTTTCCAAAATGGTTGTATCATTTTATATTTCCACCATCAAAGTGTGAGAGTTTCCATTGTTCTAATCCTCTGCAACATTTGATATTGTCAGTCTCTTAAATTTTAGCCATTCTAGTTGTTTTAAAATGGTATTTCATTGTTATTTTAATTCACGTTTTCTTGATGATTAATGATGTTGAGCAATTTTCATATTCTTATTGGCCATTCATATTTCTTCTTTTCTGAAGTGTCTCTTCAAGTGTTTGCCAATTTAAAAAGTTGTTTGTGTTTTTATTACTGATTTGTAAGAGTTCTTTATATATTCTGGATACAAATCCTTTGTCATGCATATGTATCACAGATATTTTCTTCCAATATCTCACTTGCCTTTTTATTTTTTAATTTTTCTTTTGATGATCACAAGTTTTAGAATTTTGATGAAATCCAACTTATAAATCTTTTTCTCTTTTGAGTATTTATTTTTATGTGCTAAACAATCTTTCTATACCCCAAGGTTGTGAAGATAATTTCCTGTCATTTCTTCTGGAAGTTTTATAGTTTTAGCTTTTATGTCTAGATCTGTGATCCATCTCAAATTAATTTTCGTGTGTGATGTTAGGTAGAGGCCGGGGTTCATTTTCCCTCTACATTTATTGTTTCCACACCATTTGTTCAAGACTTTACTTTTCTCACTGAATAGCCTTGGCTCTTTTGTGGAAAAAGAACTGACCACGTATGGGAACCACAGGTTTGTTGTCCATCCCTACAGTTTTGCCTTTTCCAGAATGTTATATAAATGGAATCATATAGTATGTAGCCTTTTGAGTCTGGCTTTTTTCACTTAGCAAAATGTGTTTGGGAATTATTCACATTGTTGCATGTATCAGTAGTTCATTCCTTTTTAGTGCTGAGTAATATTCCACGGTATGGATGTACCACTTTTTTTTAATCCAGATACTTGCTGATGAGCCTTTGGGTTATTTTTATTTTTTGACAATTATGACTAACGATGCTTTAGACATTGATGGATAGGTTTTTGTGTGATCATAAGTTTTCATTACTCTTGGAGTCTAATTTCTGGGTTATACGGTAAGTGTATATTTAACTGTATAAGAAACTATCGAATTGTTTTCCAAAGTGGCTATGGCATTTTTCATTCTCACTAGCAATGTAAGAGAATTCTAATTACTGTGCATCTGTGCCAGCTTGTGGTTTCATCATCGTTTCTTTTTATTTTTATTCATTCTTATAGGTGCGTAGTGGTATGTCATTGTGGTTTTAATTTACATTTATCCCTAATGAAGAGTGTTGAGCATTTTTTTTATGCTTATTTGCCACCTGTGTATCTTCTTGGTGAATTATTTGTTCATATTTTTTGCTCACTTTTTATTGGGTTGCTTGTTTTCTTATTGCTGAATTTTGAGAGTTGTTTATATATTCTGAATATAAGCCATTTGTCAGATATGTGATTTGCAAATATTTTTCTCCCATTCTCTTAACCGTACTTTTGCAGAGCAAATGTTGTTAAATTTTTTGAAGTCCAGTTTATCAATTTTTTGTTTTATGTATTGTGCTTTTAGTGTTGTGTCTAAGAATTCTTTGCAAGGTCCCCAGGATTTCCTTGTATTATTTCTTCCAGGCATTTTATAGTTTTAGGTTTTACGTTTAGACCTATGGTCCATTTTGAGTTAATTCTTATAAAGATGTAAGGTACGGGTTGATGTCCATTTTTTTTTTTTTGCATATGGATGTCTAGTTATTCCAGTACTATTTGTTGAAAAGACTATCCTTTCTCTATTGACTTGCCTTTGTACCTTTGTCAAAAATCAATTTACTATATTTGTGTAAGTCTATTTCTGGACTTTATCATCTGTTACATTTATTGATGTGTCTATCCTTTTTTCAATTCTACACTGATTTGATTACTGTAGCTTTTTAGTAAGTCTTGAAATCAGGTAGTGTGAGTCTTCTAGCTTCATATTCTCTCAGTGTTTTGAACTCACTTCTTTTATTCTAAATCTGCAGGAAGGCAGAGTAATTCACTTTCTGAAGTAAGGGAATTTTTTAGGAGAAGTTCTTGCTGAAGTCTTTTCCCTGAAGATTGTATAACAGCCTAGGTTTTGATCCATGAGTATGCAAATGGAAAGTATTATTTTTATTATTCTTAAAAGTACATTAAGATTATATATTGGCATATAGTCTATATTATTTATGTACATATTTGAATTTTCATAAAATATGATTGAATACATAGCAGCAATTCATTTAAGTTTTATATTTGGTAAACTGCTATTATAATGCATATTATAGGACCTATAAATTTTATTTTAGAAAATCTTGTTATGATTAATTCTGTATCTCTGCTTTTCTCCCCAAAGCTGCAATGCAAATAAAAATATTTTTATTTGAAAGTACTTAATGCATTTTCAAAAATTATGTTGATAAGGACACGAGGGGGAAAATTCCAGCTGTAGCAGAGGATTGTGGGTTGTAGAGGATGTTTGCTGTCAGATGAAAATAGCCATTAATAGAGGCTGTCTGCTGGAAAATAAATGACTTATCTATAAAGCCCTGTGTTTAATGTTTGGATATTGTAAAGAAGTGATTAGTAAAGGACAAGTAGTTAAATAAAAAACAGTTTTTGGATTTGAATTGCTTTTATCTGAAAAAATGTAGTAGAGTTATTTACAAGGCTTTTGAATGTGTAATCTTTAAAACAATTAGTGGAAATGCTGTTAGATAAATGAAACTTGTAGAACAGGAAGCTTGGTTTCAGCATCGCAGCATGTTTTTAGCATTAGGTAAAATGTGCTAGCCAAATGGTTGGGTAATTCTTGAGTTTAAATACTTTGGAGCCATCACGTAAATATATCTCAAGCATCTATGCCTACTGAAGCATCTGGGCTGAGTGCCATATTACCTTCCTCTTACTAACGTGGCTTTTGTAATCTTAGTATTTATGTTCTTCTTTCTTTTCTATCTGAAAAAGATGAAATTAGTGGAACAAGAACTTCCTTTCTAGAAGTAAAGACTTTTCACTATCAGTTAAGTATGGTTAACGCTTGATGTAATGTTTATTGTAAACGCTTTAGGTTTATTTGACATTTTATTAAAATCAAGTGAATTTAGAATGGAGAGCAAAAATCAAAGACATTCAGGTTCATCATACTATATTCGGTTTTATTCCTTTATATCATGGTATTAGGAGTACATTTGGCAAGAAGTCTGGGTTAGTCATTGAAGTGTGATTAGATGTTGAAACTTTTTTTCTTTTTAATTGAATTCCAAAAGTATCCAGAGATAAAGTGCAGCTTTTTTATATTGTTGGAGCTGATAGGTCTGCCGGAAATGATTCCCAAGAAGTCAAACACAGTCCTGTGCATGGTGTGTTTTGATTGACT